AACAACAATAGCAACAACTATAACAACAACAACAGCAACAAAGACACTCATATAGGATATAAAACCTAATACTCCACATTCACTAGAAGCCTCCACAGCACCTTATTACTCCCTACGCCCCTATAGAAGCGGGGGCTTAAAGGGCTAGACTAGTACCTTATGTATAGATTCCATATATAAACCTGATATAGGAGAAATAGGCAATAGAAAATAATCAAACGAGATATAACCAGCTTAACGAAACATAAGAGAGCGTGTTTATATAACTTACCTCAAGAGTCTCAGGAGCGCTGCTAGTCTTATAGTCAGATTTATCTGCAGCTATCATGCCAGTACAGCAGCTAACGCAGTAGAACTGCTGGACCTCCGGCCAGTAACGTATGTTCTTATCAATGTCGCGTCGGATATCGGCAGGTACCTTGTCGTCGGGCTCTGGATCAATGTCCATACCTCGGCCGTCGGAGTCTAACTCCGAGGCTGGCTCAGTAGCTATACCCTGAGGATGGTGAGGGATGTCCGGGGGCATCCGGTCGGGGATAGTTGATGGAGTTGACGTCTGCGTATCCATGATCGCCGAGTGGGGCAGGAGGTAGGCGTTAGGGAGTATAGGCTCTTAGTAGCTGCTACAGCTGGGTCCTGTCTAATAAGGTGACTTGGTTAGCAAGCACTAGCACCTCTTTCTCCCTATCCAGATACATATATATAGTATCTGATCAACGCGTCTTGTTAAGTTCCCATCCTGATCAGGGTCATACTAAGAGGGCCTGCACATGATACTAGGTAGACGAGTAGTAGGCAGTAGTGTATGGTCTGGGAGGCTGACATGCCACTGCTCAAAACAAGCATGATCGATATATCGGAATCCATACCTCATTCAAATAAAAAGGAAGATATTTAAAAAGCTTACTGCGTGAGATGATGAGAAAGTGCGAAAGCTTTCGGACTTTGATAAGAGAGTGAGAAGGAGGAAGAGAGTAGCTGAATAGTAGTGTCTAAAGTTGTTTTTCGTTTTCGAAGCTTGAGGAAAGTGTTATCTGCAGTAGACCTTTTCCTATGTAGGTGAGCTTGATGCGAAGACGATGTCAAGATTCGGTTCCTGGCTAGGACGCAGGCCCTTTAAATAGTCGTTCAGGGATCGCCTGGACCCAGGGCATCTCAATCATCCGAAGCAGACAGGTCAAGCGGTATACACAATCCAACGCATGACAAAGCGCGTCTGCGTTGCGTCCTCTGTCGCCCTGACTCCTAAAAATCGGTTCAGGAACCAGAACGCAACACGCACGGGGCAGCCACGTACTCGTACCTCAAGACATGAGGATCGCAACCGAAAACCGAAAATAAGAACGCCTGCATAAGGCCTAGCTGATCACATCACTTGAAGGACCCCTTTGCCGCCGAGTTTCCCCATCCCAGGGTTCCCTCATCATACCCCCTCATCATACCAAAGGGTTAGAATATAAGCCTTGCAGCCATCCATCCCTATAAGCCAGCAAGGTTAGGACACCCTGCCCAACAGAGCATGTAATTGGGCAGCTAGCCAAAAATAAGATTCACCACAACCTGGAAGCATGTGTAACTACAGTCTGGGAAGGATGATGGTGGTAGACAGGGACGTAGAGACTACATGACCTATATGGTCTCGGCCTAATGAAGAATGGGTTTTTACAACGCCGGGTTCTCATTCCTATAAAAAAGAAAAGAAGAAAAAAAAAAGAAGAAGAAGAAGAAAGAAAGAAAAAATACAAGAAAAAAGAAAAAAAAATACAAGAAAAAAAAAAAAAAATACAAGAAAATAAATATAGCATGATATCCTATCCTCATCCGTAAATTTGATCCACCCTCTCTACCTATCTCCTCTATATCGCCTCTAGTCAGTCGAGGTACCAGAGACATAATATCAGGGTTGGTCTCCGTTGATAATACGAGATAAAGGTAAAAGCCTGCACTGAATCACCCTTATAGGCCACCCTTTCCGGTAGCCCCCTCTTAGAGGCTCCTGCATACCTGCGCACCTTCCTCTTCTTCACTGAAAGCCATTTTAGTATACCCACAATAGCAGCCCTCCCTCCTCACGGCTAATATACTTCGTTCTACCTACGTCACCACGAGGGCCTTATACGTTGCTTTCTTAGAAGCTTCGCCTCTTTCCTACTCGGCAGGGTAACTATCCTAACTGTATGAAGAGGTGGACGCGTGAAGGCCTTCTCTATTCACCTCCCCTCCCGGACCAGAAACGAGGGCGAAGAAGGGAAATAACCGCGCCCCGTATCACGCGTCAAAAGCAGAACTTTCCAAGGGAATATATTGATACTATTAAACACCATATGTAACGCCTCTACTGTTCATCCCACTCTCGTAACTCCACTAGGTAGGAATGTGGCTATATATCCAGCGCCGAAAGTAGCCGCATTCTCCGCATTGTTCCACTATGTGGAAACGGAAGACAGAACAAGAGAAGTTAAAGGGAAAAGGAAAAGAAAGAGAAGTAAAAAAAGAACAGGGTGGCCGTGAGGTGGATAGGAACAGTGCCCCCAGGTACGGCGCCCTTAGCCGTTACTTTCATCACCCACATAGCTTATATGTAACCGGTCAAACTGAATCAACCTACCTGTCTTATACACCCCTCTTCCCCCGCGACCCATATACCCCCTACTGCTTGCACGGTTGCCCCACATTCAACCCCCCAAGGTGTTCCTCCATTATGGAACTCACCTTGCGCCACCCCTGAAAACATACGTAGGAATGAATAGGTATAAGCCGTCGAAAGCTGAACCCCGTTTAATGCATTATACCCCTCGATCCTCCGGGCCCCCACACACGCTAAGCATGCTACTATCAGAGCCTACAGTACCTCTTCCTAATATTCCTCTCCCCTAAAGGACCAAAGAGCCTGTGGTTATATCTCCCTTGTCAGAGGGCAGCAGTACTATGTATAGGTCGCCCTAGAATACCTGATCCCCGCACCACTCTGCTTGACCCTGTGTGTCGAAGGGCATGCGGTTATGCACACATGTATATAACTGGATACCTGGACGCCCCATTAAGCCTATCTCGGGGCTTCGGCATTACGAATATCCAGCTGTAGTTCACGCGTCCTGATTCGTTCTAGAAGTGGTGTCTTTGACAGCAAGCCTATCATATCTAAGCAGATTAGTACATAAAACCCTGCTACTAAACTTGGGTATTCTTAACTACCTACCCCTGCTCTATATACACTTTCTACACCATGTTGTTTGTGCGATAGCAGGCCTGTATCACCCGCCACATCCCACTCCCAACACCGGTTTATCCTTCTTAACTTCCCAACCGCATGGTTTTCCATTAGAATCACTTCTAGCCCCCTTCACCAGTAACAATTTTTACACTGGCTGGCGGCTAACCACCAGACCCCTCTACCCGCCTAGCTACGCGTCGCACCCATCGCCCGTGGCCCTCACGCCGTCCATAGCTGGCTGCAGCATCACCATCAATCACCATCAAGTGTCCGCCACCTACCCATATACTTCCCTCACCTGATTCAACATACCTTACCTAGGTCCACCTCGCCATACAGGTATCTCCTAAACGGGTATCATTCTAGGCTCCTACCTATACATCCGCCACCCTTAGGTCCCCCCCACCACTCGTGGCCTGCTACCCACCCCTCCCACCTCTCACCTCCCACCTCCCACCTCCTACTACCTCCTACCTCCTACCTCCTACCTCCTACCTCCTACTACCTCCTACTACCTCTCTGTTGTGAGACCAACAGAAGAACCATGTCTCCCGCGTCGCACCCTGTTAATGTACATCATCCAAGGCAGGCCCTGCGCAGGTCCACTGCCCAAGCCGCGCATGACGCACCCCTCCCAGATGACGGAGGAGACAGCCATAAGCTCCTGAGCGGGCAAGACCCACAGCCAGCCCGGCTCTTCAGCTCAACACTCTCCTCCCTGCCCGATTCTATCATCACATCGAAGCACAGGACGCCGGACATAGCCCCGTCAGCAGCCAAGGGAAGGCCGCAGGAGAGGTCACAAACCCCACCGCCCTCTGCCAGGTCCTCCCCCATAACCGTCTTCATCCCAGCCAGCGATGTGACGATGAACCTTCGCTGGCGCGTGTTCAAGTCCATGCAGGCGGGAAACTACGATCGAATCCTCCGCCTCCCTGTATCGACAGGTATGGGATTCGCCAAGCTTCACCTCCAGACCGAAGAAGGTAGCGGGCTGGTCGAGCTGCTGCTCGACGTCGCCGACCCCCCAGTGTGTGTCCAGATGTGTACCTTCCACACGTCGAAGACCCTCGGCGTGTCCATCCTCAACATGCCGAAGCCCAACACCCAGACGCAGGAGGCCGTCGTCGTCAAGGCGAGCCCACGTCGCCGCGCCCCACGCGTGCCAGTGGGAGCCTCACGCCAAATAAGGGCACCGCCCATACAGGCCGACATGGCTGATCCCTTCTCCCACCAGCCCTCACCCGACACCATCACATCATACTCCGCTGGCATATACGGAGAGGCGGGGGTCACAGGCGACAGCTGGCTGACCAACCCAGCCCTCATCGCCAATTCCAAAGATGGGGTAGCCACACTCGTCAACTCCCCGGCGCCGTTTAGCTGTCCCGGAATGTACCTGCAGCGCTCATCCTCCACCACCATTGATATTGTTTTCCGCGGAGGGCCTAAGGTCTGGCTCGTCGTCAAACCCACGTCCAGCCGAAGGCTTGAGGACTGCGTAAGGGCTATCCTCTCCCGGCCGTCACAGGGACAGGGGAAAGGACAGGGCGAGCAGCAACAACAACAGCGACCTGCGCGTGGAAACCCTCCCGCCACACCTTGCTCGCAGTTCTTCCTCCACGACAGGATCTTCATCACAAAAGCCGTGCTCGACCGGTGGGAGGTGACGTATTGTATTTTCCGCTGCGTCGAGGGAGATGTCGCCGTTGTGCCCCCAGGCACCTACTTCTAAGTTTTTAACGCCGGACCCTGCCTGTCCCAGCTTGTCACCATTCCAGCCCCTATGTCAGACGCGGGCAGCCCGTATACAGGCGACCTCCGTCCCTGTGGTGATACCTGCGAGACCCTCCAACCGCCCGGGAGCGCGTGGCCCGACGATTCGGCCACCAGCACCGCTGGTGACAAAGCTGCCTCCTCAGACTGCGACCCGGCCGCGGGTCCCGGGCGGAAGAAGCTACCCGAGAGTCAGCCCCTGGACCACCGGGACGTCGTGGGCGGCTCGGGACCGAGCGCGGGGGGACCGGCAGATATCCCTGTCGTAAGGCGTGGCCTCCGGAGAGCCGTGCCGCATTCCCCGCCGTCTTCGGGTGACGACGCCGCGGATAGTCCCACACTCGGCGGGCGACCGGCCCCACCATCATCATCACCATCATTATTATCATCGCACCCCCTCGCCCGGCACCATCACCGTGGTATAGCCACAAGCGACAGGGCATCTACGCTCCCACGTGAAGGACATCCAAGTGGGAGGACGTCAGCAGGCAAACGAGCCCGGGCCACCGATCCTCCTACCAACGACGACAACACACCAGCCAGCAGCAGCCAAGCCCGCGCCGCGGCCCAACATGCCAGTAAGCGGAGGTGCCCGACACATAACCCGATCCTAGTCTCACCGCAGACGACCACACGCCCGGGAGACCAGCCGGCCGCAACACGAGATAGGCCCCACGATGGGCAGAGCAAGAACCACGCTAGGGATGTCGTTAGTAGCGACGAGATAGATGACACGGATCATACAGACTATGGAGATGGTGGTGAGGATGTGGAGGACCTCGACTGCGACGTCTCCCGCCACGACACGCCAGATAACGTCGCAGAGATGTCCGAGGATTGCTCGGGGAACCGGGACGACGCCGACAACAAGAAACCCCCCTCCGGCGAGGCCAGGCCGCATACGTCCGAGCCGGCCTCGTCCGTGGACAAGGTCGAGGCCATTATAAGGTCCCTCGTCACCCGCGGCGTCGAACAGTGCGTGGCCCTCTTGCAGGCCTGGCGGGCCGCCGCGACGAGCTCGACGCTCCACCTCCCGCGATGCGAGAGCCGTGCCGTTCTCTACCGCAACACCCAGCAGGCCAAGTGCCACGAAGCCCTCGCCAGGTACCAAACGAGGCTCGCCTATATCCAGCTGAGCAGGCGACTCAAGAAGCCGGGACCCGACAGCGCCGCCGTGTACCGGAGCCGCAGCGACATCCACAGCCTCACCTGCGAGGTGCTCGGCGTCGACCCCTCCTCCGCCGATACCAAGTCGAGGGCGTTCTATCTACAAAGGGCCGACATCAGCCGTTGCCTCTACACTGGCCGCATCTTAGATATTGTCTCCGGCGATGGTCTTGACTTCCTCCCCGTCCTCCCCGCCGGCAAGCTCGGCCTCACCCTGTCAGACTCGCAGGACCTGGCTCGCCGGCTTGTCAGCCTCGCGTCCGGGGAGGCTGAGGACGACGAAGGTAACACCATTAAGCAGCTGGCCGCCTTCGGCCGGTTGTTCGCGAGAGTCGTCCAAGGCGAACAGGCGGATCCCCTGTTCGGGCTCGACGTCGAGCCCGTCGCCCGCCTGGCGTCGGCAGCGGAGACGCCCCGGCCGCCGAGACCTACGTCTGGCCCTGAGCGTATCGCCGCGCACACATGGGGACTGGGAGATAAGCTTCGGGCGTCCATCGGCAGGCTGACCGGCGCCGGGCAGGACGTCTCCCTCCTGCGCGTGGGCGGATGCGCCGTCTGCACCCATCGCCACGGCCCTAACCCACTACAGTGGCGCGAATGTGCCTTCTAACAGCATATAGACCTCCCCCACCCCTTTGTCCGTATCACCTACACGGGGACTCCGGCGTCGATGGTGCCGAGGCTGCAGGCCGTCCGTCACCCCGACGTTCCCGTGCTAGGACCTTTAGGAAGCACCTCCTCACCCACCACCAATCCTGACCAGGTCAGCATCACAGCGGGAGATATTGTGAGCGTCGTCCCTGGCGAGCTTATCCTAGATAGCTCCTCTGCTGCCTCCGAGCTCACGCCCGCTAGTCGCTGGCGTGATATTAGGGATGAGGTACGGGTAGCACCCGGCGTGGCCCTTCGCATCGACAGGGCTAACCCTTTCCTTCAGATGCTACTGGCGCCGCCTACCGGTTCCCAGTCCTCTGAGCTAGAAGCCAAGGTCTTAGCTGTTAGTGCCATAAGCGTACTGGTTCTAGTTGCGGTGTCTGATGTTAAGAATAGCGATACCCTCTGTCTTAGATGAAGGATTAACAGAAACGGCTGTAAATATTAACTTAGCCTTACCTAAATAAATGTTATTAGTTACCCTATGCCTGCCTCCCCCCCCCCCCCCCCCCCCCCCCCCTCTACACACACACACACACACACACACACACACACACACACACACACACGCACACACCCCCTTCATTTCCTCTTCTGCATCAGTATAGAAACCACCGGCCTCACCGACGCAGGCATCGTTTCCTGCATTCGCTGGTGAATAGCTATTGCATCCGGCATAGAAACGCTAGTAACGGCATCAAGCATTCTAACGTACGCCTGACAGACTGTTACCATGCTCTTATAGAAGAGCGAACCACCTGCAGTATAGTCATTCCAGCCGTTCATGTCCGCGAGGTCTTCTGCAACGGCCAGTAGTTCCATCACCTCCTCGCGTGCTCTAGGATCCAAGGGCGTGCCTGGCGGCCCTCGGACCTGAGGCCATCCCGAAGTAATGTCGGCTGTAGCTAAAGCGGCCATCCTCGTAAAGATACAGGCCATGGGCAGCGGTTCGTCGGCGGCGACGGTCCTCATCGCCGCCTGGGCCCCCTTGTCCAATAACCAGCGGACGCGATTTTTAATATGGGCAGCCGGCATTGGGCTGACGTCGCCAATGACGAAGCAGAGAGCCATGGTGCCGCAAGACACGAACGCGCGATCTAGAAAAGGTTTCTGCGCGTCCCTCCCGAGCAGACCGAGTTCCTGGTCGAAGGTGTGGAACCTGACGTCGGGCCCGGACGGGCGTAAGGCCTCTAAGTCGTCTTCCCGCACATCTGTGTTCTGTAGCGCGTAGAAGTATGTTGTCCACAGCTCAGAGTCAACATCGCCATGTCCTAGGCTTACTCTGAACATATAGCGGGTGCTGCGGATCCACGATCGCAGAAGCAGTCTCACCGCCGCAAGCAGCTTCGATCGCATATTCGTCGGCATATACCCTTTCTTCAGTAAAGAGAAAGCCGTCTTTAATACCGGGGCACTCCCTCTCCCGGTCCCGTCCCGTCGCCCGCGCGGCCGCGCTCCATCATGCCACGCGAGGCCGGCGCTATGAAGCAGGGAGTAAGCGGCATCCTCTTCGCCGTGAAGCAGCGCCCAATCCAGTGGGGTCCGGCACTCCGCGAGGGGGCCGGACATCGCCGAAAGGTCACGCGACTGACCTCCTCTGGGGTCCGCCCCAAGCCGCAGCAGGACCGGCACGGCCCGGGAACCGACCTCATCTAACGCAGCGTAGCATAGTGGCGTACGATGCCAGCTATCCATCTCATTCACCGACAGCCCGACGTCCCGCACGAGATGCTCCATCATATCCCACAGACCACGCTCGGCCGCTGTGTGCAGGGCCGTTGCCCCGTAACAGATCTCAACACAAGCACCGCCCCGGGGCTCGCCGCGCTGCCATGTCCTACCAGCACCCTCCGCAGCAGTTGCCGCCGGGGGCTCCTGGGTGCCTCGCCCATCTTTGCTCTCGTCGTGGGTCCTCCGGACGACGACGTTACGCGGGTTAGCCCCCGCTGACAGGAGGAGCCTCGCGACCGACTCGTGCCTATAGCAGATCGCCATATGGAGCGGCGTTGACGCGGAGCAGCACCCCGCATGGCTTGACACCTGCTCCCCATAAATTCCGCGGCCACGACTAGCAACACATCGGCAGGTCATTGCCTCCGCCCGCTCCACATCGACCCCCTGCTTGAGGAGCCATGCGACGGTGTCGTAGTTCCCGCGCGCGGATGCCTCGTGGAGAGGGGTCGTCCAACAATGAAGCCTAGACAATCGCAAACCGTCTCCCGACCTCCAGTGGCTCGGCCAGTCGTCGGCGCCCACCCTGCACAGTGTCGTGCCAAGGTGCGCCCCGTATCGGACCGCCGTCCGGAGCGTGGCCAGGTTACCCGCCGCCGCTGCCCTGACTGTGATATCTGGCAGACGCAGGCTCACCGCCCGACGGTATAGGGTACCCTGGAACAGGATGTTCAGATACCTATTAACCCGTGCTAGTCTGGCTACTGTCGACCACCAGTCTCTCGGATCCTGACGCGAGGCCATGTCTGCAATATGTAGCCAGATCTCGGCGGGTAGTTTGTTTGCTGGCACGGACCTGATGTGCCTGACGTCCCCCCCCTCTTTAGTAGCCACCTCATTATCTCCCAGGTCGTCAGCCAGCATATCGTCCAGTGATAGCCTTAACCATGGCCAGCACTCGTACCTTGAACGCTGGAGTTAGCTATGTCGTTTCCCTATTTTTTTCCCGGGTCTTTAAGCAACACAGCCCACGCACGCAGCCTACCGCTTACTGCGCCTAGCTATACATACCTCACTTCGGCCTCAGACACTGTAGGGGACGCTCCCTCAATCCCGGCATTATATGACTCCATTGTACTGATGATGCAGTTATAGGTAAGTAGGTAGGTATGTGATACACAGCTTCTAATAGGGCCGTGGATTGTAAACCGAAATATCCCCTGAGTAATTGTCAGGTGGTAACTAAAGCCCTTTCTTGCTTTTCCTAAGACGAGGTAGATTATAGTGTGCAGGTAGAGAGAAGGAAGAAAGGTCACGATAGAGAGGATAGTAAAAGGGATAGTGGCCTTTCTAGCAGACTAGGCAGTTATAATAGAAAAGTATCGTCATGGTATTAAACAGAAGAAGAACCTCTATCGATCAGGAATGGACGGTTGTAGCTCAATGAGGCTCAATGAGGCCCCACGATAGGGCTGCGTTATATATCCCAGCTCCCCATTAAAGACATCTTACGTGTTACTTCTAAGATGTAGTACGTTACGAGGCATGTTCCCCGCAGGGCTTAAGATACCTATAGTAGGTACTTGTAACAAAGCAGGTGTCGTAATTGTAAGATTGATGTATCCCTCAGGGTCTAGACTAGCTAAAGTATGTACTGCTAGGTATAGAGGCGGGAGAATAGGAAATGGGTGTGTAGTAGTAGACATGGAAGCTTCAGGCTTTTTCAAACACAGCCGATATAGATGAACGAATACCTAAAAAAAAAAAAAAAAAAAAAAAAACAAAAAGAAAAGAAAAAGAAACCGCAGACGGCCGATAAGACACAAATGTTCAAACAGCCTACAACTATAATCTTCAATATATAGGAATAGAAGCCGGCATACTTTGAGTGTAATCTAATCTTTCCTTCTGATTAACACCTTGTCCACGTCTTCTCGTCTATCCCAGCATCTCGCCACCTTTACGGTTATAAGTCTTGACGTACATTACATTATCGTAACACCCTATGGATTCAATTCCACCACTAGCCCGTCGCAGCGGTTTTCTTGTCCTACTTGTTGTATTTTGCATATATAGTACGTATTAGGTAGCTGTGAAGGTTATCCATCTACTACTTTATTAGTACAAACGATTCATGCTAGGTACCCTTTTGTCCTATGCCCGTCTAAACGACTTCTCTAACATGCCTAGATGGGTGAATACTACGCTTCCCTTTACCCATAGAGGCGTCAACATGACCATACCCGTATATCCTCATTCAATTTATTGAAAGTCTACATTATTGGGTCCCTGTAATAGGTCCTCCTATCCCATACCGGACGCCACATAAATGGACTAGATTCAGGGTGTGCGACCTGGATGTCTTCTCTTTGTATACCCGTACCCTGATGCTTCTATAGACCCTTACAAGCTCCACTACCCTCAATTACCAGATAACTAGCGAAGTGCTCAGTCAGCCAACTGCAAGCGTTGTTTTTGGTATATTCTGTCTACAGGTACCTCTCCATTACAATCAAAACAAACACACGTATCTCCTTCCTCAACCGACTTGTTGATTCGATGATAAGCACACTCTTTTTTTTTTTTTCCCTTTTTTTTTTTTTTTTTACTCACTTTCCTTATTTAAAAAATAAATAAATCATCACATTTATATATACTACCTTTCCTCTCCTTTACTTAGACATCTATCCATCTTTCCTATCCATTCACCCTCGCCCTATTTCCTCATAAGCAACCCTCACTAAGGCAACCTTTAGATCTCATCCTCACCTTCCTCCCTCTGCTCAACAGGGCCCAACATCTCACAACATAAAGATAAAAAGAAAGACATAACCACTCTTTAGGGGTGATAGCCCCTTTATTCCTATTCTAACAGTTTCCCTTTTCTTTCCACCTTTCCCCCCTTTTCTTCCTTCTTCTTCCCTTTTCTCCTCTTTCTTCTTTTCTTGTTTCCTTTTCTTGTTTCCTTTTCTTTCTACCCCCTCCTTTCTACCCCTCCTTCCTTCTTATTTCTCTATTCTTCTCCGCAGCTTGCCAAGGCATCTCCCTCATGGATATCGAGTCTGTAGCGAAGAGGAAACGCGTCATAGTCGACGTTGACGAATGGGAGTCAGCGCGGGTCATCAAAGCCGCACGACGTCATGTAAACACCACCCCTACTTCTCGCCAAGTCCCTCAGCCTGAAGTCATTGATCTGGATGAGTGGGAGGCTCGTCGACCCCAGCAGCAGCAACGTTGTGTTACGCCCCCCCCCAGCTGTCTACAGCGTCGTCGTACGGTATCATCTCCCTTCCGCCTGACGCGGATCCCTGGGCTTCCCGAGCGCCATAACCGGGACACAGTCACGCTTAGTGATCTCGTGGGCGATCCGCTGATATCGGAATGCTGGAACTTTAACTTCGTCCATAACATCCCTTTCTTCCTAGGCCACTTCCACAGAAGCACGCAAGCCTCCGTTGCTATTCATATCGTCTACGGCTACCACGATGAGGATAATCCCCTCATGACGTCTCTCAAGGCCCAGCAGAAAGACCATCGTAACACTGTCGAGCTGCACAGGGCTTATGTGCCCATGTACGGCACGCACCATTCCAAGATGATGATCCTCTTCCGGCGGGACCACACAGCTCAGGTCGTTATACACACGGCCAATATGACCAATAAGGACTGGGCTACTATGACGAACGGGGTCTGGGTCTCACCGCGGCTCCCTCGCCTGCCAGCTGGAGAAGCCGCCCAAGCCA